ATGTCAGTGGCGGGGAGCACAAGGGCAGGCGCTGACCTCCAACAAAAAGAAGAAGTAATCTTATCCGAATACAAGAGGTTTTTCTTTTCGAAATCCGAATAGAAAGGGTACAGATTGAATTCGAATACAAAGTGTAGGACCTGCACCGTTTCAATTTCGAAAAAGGATTACCCGCACCGTTTCAATTTCGAAAAAGGACTGCGGCCTCCTCGGCCTCCTACTCGCAGCTACCCGCCCTACGCGTTCCTGGCCCTTGCAAGGCCCCAAAACCTCAAATGCCCACCCTCCCGACGACCACCGACGTTGAAATTGACGTTGAACGTTGAATGTCTCAGGGGGGGAAAACGCATCCCTGACGGGCTGCGAACACCGAAGCCTAAGGGCTGCGAACATTGGGTGAGTAGTGGAGCGAGGCCTTTGTTTGTTTTGTCTTTTGCTCTTGCGGTTTTGGCAGGTCTCGGGGAGGGGGGGTTGGACCCCGAACTCCATGGCTTCAGGCGGCCCATGGCCAGCGAAAGCCATCTGTTCCTGTTTCTGATCCTGTTCCTGGTCTATTCCGTTCTATATGTCCGCATTTGCGTATGTCTTCGGCGGAGGAGGTGGCCCCTGGCCCCTGGTCAGGAAGAGCAGTCTGCTCTTGCCCCTGCTCTTGCTCCTACTCCTCGTCGTGGTCCATCCATTTGTTCCATGCGTCCACGTTTGCGCCCATGTTGCACCTCGAAGTGACTGCATCGAGTGGGGACCGTGGAAAGCGGTAAGAGGCCTACCAGCAAGGAGAGGTCATGTTCCATGACATGGCAGAACGCCAAATATGTGAGGTGAGAAAAAAAAAAAAGAAAAAAAGTTACCCACGACGCGACGGGACCGCGCGCGCGCGCGCCAATTGAAGGTGCGAAGCTGCGCGGGTGCGCGGGGTCGAGGCACCAAGGTCACGCCACTGCCGCAATCTGAACTATGATGATGCGAGGGCAGAGGAGAAGGCACGACGGTGGAATCGAGTCGAGGTCCCAACCTTGCCCATTAGTTAACCAGTGGGCGGGGAATTTCGGTAGACGTGCGACATTTGGTTTCGTTTCGTTTCGTTTCGTTGGTGGGGTACCGGGAGACGAGGAGTGGTACTGAGCGAAGGAGAGTGGGAGTGGCGAAGTTTTTTTTTTTTCTGCCCACCGGCGACGTTGAGAAAGAGGATGGGCCGGGAGGAAGAAGGAGAAGAGGGAGAAGCGCGAGAAGAGCGCCATATCTCGCTACAGGACATGGTTCGCAGTTAGGACCGACGAGCAGAGTAGCGCGGGCGGGTGGCGCGCTCGTCTGCGCAAGCGATTGCCTTTTTGAACTCGCTCAGGCGGGAGACTCTAGGAAAGCTTCACTGGCGAAAGGAGGCGGAGGTGGAGAGGCGAGGGACGCGAAGGCGCGCGCGCGATCGGCGCATCCATGCCCCTCCGGTCCCAATTGTGGGACTGAACGCCTATTGGACGAACGTGGAGGCGGCGGAGCGATGAGCGATGAACGAACCGCGCTCGTTCTTTGATTCTAGAAATCTGCACTTTGCGATGGGATTTCCGCCGTTGGATTAGCAAAAGGAAGAGGAGAAGCGGACGGGCTGGACAACTGGGGAGGAAGGCGGGAAGGCCAGAGACGCGATCGGCCGACTGATTCGAATCTGCGCGTAGCGATGGGATTTCCAGCCGTCGGATTGAGACGGTCTTTGGAATATGCCGAAAGAAGGCTAAGGCAACCGTTGTCTTGCGCTGGAATCTAGTCGTTGTATACTGCTCTGCCTCCGCGTGGCCTTTGCTGACCGTGCTGTTGTTCCTGGTTCAGATTGGCGTGGGGATGCCTGGGCTTGGTGCGCGGGAAGAGGGCGAGCCGGAGCGGGAAGCGGGAGAGGAGTACGGAGAGGAAACGGAAGCGCAGAGGCGGCGGCGTAGGCGGCGACGACGGCGGGGGCGGCAAGGAGAACCGGGCGAGCGAGTGCGCGTGTCGTGGAGGTAGGACGGGAGAAGAGAGAGAGATAGAGAGAGAGATCGGAGCAGGCGGGAGAGGAAACAGGAGCAAGAGGAGGAGGACGGCGGAATAGAGACGGTGCGGTACCGTGCGGGAGAGCAGTGAGGCGTAATCTGCGAAGAGGGGAGGTGTTGCGCGGGAGAGAGGAGTAAGTAGGAGGAAAAGTCTGCAGGAGGAGTGGCAAAGAAGGAAGCAGGGAGGGGAGTGTGTGGATGTGCGACGTCATGCGCGGCGGCTAAGCGACGGGTGGCCACGCCAGCTGCCGTACAAGATCGAAGTGGCGAAGCGAGATAGGCGTTGAGGGGGAAGGACTGAACCTTGACCTGGGCGTGGGAGGTCGATCGCAAGACGATGCCGCAGCAGGAGAAGCAGGGACAGGGACAAGGGGAGGAGGGAGGAGAGACGCTGAAGATGGCTGCGCCCCAAGGAGGGCAGATGCGCGCGAAGAACGCGGGCGGCGGTGTAGCCGGACGGCTGTCGTTGCCTGTGCAAGCGGTTCAGCAACAACAGCAACACCTCAGCCATCAGCACCATCACCTGCTTCACCAGCACCAATCCCAGCAGCAGCAGCAGCAACAACAGCAACAGCAGTCGCAGCTAAGCCAGCAGGTGACGTTGCAAACGCCTTTGCACAGGATGATTGGAGATTATATCGTGACGCAACAGATTGGGTCAGGCTCGTTTGCCGTGGTGTGGAAAGGAAGGCACAAGCTCACGTCTACGGAGGTGGCGATCAAGGAAATTGCGACAGATAAGCTGAACAGGAAGCTGCAGGACAGCTTGGAGTCTGAGGTGGCAATTCTGAAGCGCGCCAACCACCCAAACATCATACACTTGCTGGAGATCGTTAAGGTATCGTATTATTGTGTTTAAGTGGTCCTAAGACCGAGTGTGTGCGCGATGTTTGTTTGTGTGTGTGTGTATGTGTGTGTGTGTGTGTGTGTGTGTGTGTGTGTGTGTGTGTGTGTGAGAGAGAGAGAGAGAGAGAGAGAGAGAGAGA